GCAGTTCTCTCCTGGTGGTTGGTTGGGGGAACTCCCTAATCGCAGTGACTTTGGCATCTGCAGGGCGCACTTTTCCTAGACCAACTTGCTGGCCAAGGTAGAGGACACTGCCTCTAGCAAAATCACATTTGGCAAGGTTCAAAGTGAGAGATGCATTTTCTAGGCTTATGAAGACTTCTTTCAATGTAGCCATGTGGGTTGACCAGTCACTGCTATACACAGCGATGTCATCCAAGTAGGCTCTGCAGTTGGGGATGTTTCCCAACACTTTATTAACCAGTCTCTGAAATGTTGCAGCGGCATTGCACATGCCAAAAGGCATAACCATATACTGCAGAAAGTGGTCAGGAGTGACAAAAGTTGAAATGTCAGATGCTTGCTGTGTCAAAGGCACTTGCCAATACCGTTTTAACATATCGAGTTTAGTGATGTATTTTGCAGGCCCAATTTCATTAATGCAGTCATCGATAAGAGGTAAGGGATGTGCATCTGGTACAGTGACAGAGTTCACCTTTCGGAAGTCGGTACAGAATCTTGGGCTTCCATCTTTTTTTGTGTCTAAGAGACATGGTGAACTCCAAGAGCTGGAGCTTGGCACTGCAAATCCATTCTGAAGAATTCCTGTTTTATGATCTCCCTCTTTGCAGGACTAACCCGATAAGCGCGCTGTTTGATTGGTGTAGGGTTAGTCAGCACCATATCATGTTTTATGACAGTGGTTTGAGACGGGATATCACTGAACAGAGATGGGAATCCCGATATGAGTGTTATAATATCATTACTCTGTTCAGCAGGAAGGTGGGACAGGTATTGTGTTAGGGTCGACAATATCACAGAATTACCTAGTCGAGCACTTTGAGGCTCAGCACCCCGTAACACCAACCCATCTTCATCTGGAGTAATCTCCACCTTGGTCACCGAAGCCATCGGAAACGTAGCCACAGATGGTACAGCTGAAGGTTCACGAGAGTTGTACAGCTTCATCATGTTGACATGACACACCCGAGTGGGACGTCTGCGATCTGGGGTCTGAATAATGTAGTTAGTCTTGCTGAGTTTTCTCTCTACAACATAAGGACCAGAGAACCTAACGGAGAGAGAGGAGCCGGGCACCGGAAGGAGAAGGAGCACTCTGTCACCTGGCAGAAATGAACGGTCAACAGCCCGCTGATCAAAGTGTCTCTTCATTTTCGCTTGTGACGTGGCTAATACCTTCCTGGTTAAGGAATAAGCCCTCTTCAACCTGTCATTCAGTGTCTTGACGTACTCTGGAAGGCTTTTGGCGTTGTCAACCGGTGTAGCTAGCCTTTCTTTAAAAACCTTCAAAGGACCCCTCATCTCATGCCCAAACACAAGTTCACTGGGACTAAATCCCAGAGATTCTTGGGTTGCTTCCCGACAAGCAAATAAAACAAGTGGAACACTTTCATCCCAGTCCCGTTGGGAACTATAACAGTGTTTCCTTAACATAGACTTCAAAGTCTGATGAAACCTCTCTAGTGCCCCCTGACTTTCAGGATGGTAAGAACTCGAGGTTATGTGTTCAATGCCTAATGTTTTCAGGGTTTGGGCAAACACTCTAGACTTAAAGTTAGTGCCTTGGTATGTTTGCACAACCTTAGGCAGACCAAAGGTTGAAAAGAATCTCAACAGTGCTTTGACAACAATCTGAGCTGTTATTCTCCGTAGTGGGATTGCCTCGGGAAACCTGGTTGAAACGCACATGACAGTCAACAGAAACTGGTTTCCAGTTTTAGCTTTAGGTAGAGGCCCCACACAGTCAACAATCACTTTTTGAAATGGCTCCTCTACTACTGGGATAGGACAGAGAGGAGCTGGGGGGATTACTTGGTTTGGCTTGCCGGTCATTTGGCATACATGGCAAGTACGGCAGTATTGAACAACATCAGATTTCAGTCCGGGCCAGAAGAAATGTTTCAGAATTCTGGTGTATGTTTTATTAACCCCCAAATGTCCTGACCATGGATGGTCATGTGCTAAGGACAGTACCTGGGTACGATAAGCAGTAGGTACAACCACTTGATAAACTGCAGACCAGTCTGCGTCTTCCGAGACCTCACTTGTCCATCACGTAACACCACCGTCTCTCCACACCGTCACCATCTGTGAGCACAAACTGCTGCTCTGCTCTGCCAGCATGTAGG